CCTAGTTACGCTCTCATTGGCTGTATGACCTTGAAAGGTATCTTCACTTCTATGTATCTCATCTGTAAAATGGGAACACCACTAAAGAGTCAATGAGATACACTGGGCTGGGCTTGGTGGCTCATGCCTGTAATCCCAACACTATGGGAGGCCAAGGTGGGCAAATCCCTTGAGGTCAGGAGTTCAAGACCAGCCTGGCCAACATGGGGAAAACCCTCTTTACTAAAAATACAAAAATTAGCTAGGAGTGGTGGCAAGCACCTGTAATCCCAGCTACTCTGGAGGCTGAGGCAGGAGAATCGCTTGAACCCGGGAGGCAGAGGTTGTAGTGATCCAAGATCACACCACTGGACTCCAGCCTGGATGACAGAGTGAGACTCTATCTCAAAAAAAAAAAAAAAAAAAATTCAATGAGATAGCCTGTGTAACGCATGCAGCTTATAGTAAGAACTCAATACATCTTAGCTATCACAGCAGTGGCACAAAAAGATGGAGCACACAGAAAGCCACCACCTCAGGCTGGCAAGTCAAAGAAGGTACATTAACCAATTGCTTTATATGCAAGCAATAGAATCTGATTCTGGCTAATTTAACTCTGAGTCTTTACATAACTGCCTCTGAGAACATAAAAATGTAATTGCAAAGCTTAAGTCACATTATCACATCCTCACCTAAAAAAAGGCTGAGAAAGGAAATATCTGGATATTTTGACTTTTATAAAGGAGAAATACTAATCCCATAGAGTGAAAGTTTGCCAAGAAAAGGAAGAGGACTCAGATGCTAGTCACTCACACACACACACAAAAAAATATCCTCTGGAGAAGGCTTCCTGGAAGAAGTAACAGCTAAGTTGAAACCAATCCATATCCTACATTTTCCCAATGAAGAAACTCTTCCAAAGTCACCAGCTTTGAGAGGAAAAGAAAGGAAAGAAGGGCTGGGAATAGGGGACAGTAGGGTTCAGGAGGAGACCCTAAAAGAGACCTCCTTTCTCTGATAGGCTGAGAGAGGAAGAGGCTGAAAGCCTCAGCCAGAGTTGGCGTTGGGTCCAGAAGCGGTGGCAGCAGAGCAGACAGGGAATATTGGACAGCGATTAGTAAGAATTTGGGATCCAGCACAGAGGACTGGTGTATCGGAAAGAATTGATTTGGTCTTTATCCCCAGTTTCCAGGAGGGAGCCTCTAAAGCCTTAGAAGTTCCTGAGTGAGAAGAATTTCTTTGTTATTCATGGTGGGCCCCTCAGACACCCCTGAGTTTCTGCTAATGAGGTGTTCCACCGTTGGTCTCTAGATAGTTTTATGCTGGAAGCGATGCCAGAAAGGCCAACAATGTGATTAGCAAGTTGGGGTTCTTAACCATGTTATATCCTTTCATCCTCCTGTGCTCTGAGGACAGAAGGATGGTTGGGGGTGGAGTTCAATCACACGGCTGTTGAGTCAACCAAGCATATCTACATGATGAAGCCCTAATCAAAACTCTGAACATCTGAAACTCCAGTGAGCTTCCCTACTTGATAATCATATATCAATATTCTGAAGACATGGAAGTGCCATATTTTGGACTCACCCAGACTCACTCTGTGTTACTCTTAATTTGGATCATCTTGATTTAAATCCTTTATAATGAAATTGTAATCATGTATATCATACTTTGTTGAGTCCTGTGGGTTGTTCTGTCTTATACACAGATAAGAACTCAGCAAAATATGATAGTGAATTCTGAGACTTTGCTGAAGTTGCTTATCATCTTAAGGAGATTTGGGGCTGAGATGATGGGGTCTTCTAAATATACAATCATGTCAGCTTATTCAATACTATATTGAATAAGAGTGGTGCCTGCTCAGCCACGCCTCCTGTTAGACCTGGATAATCCAAGCATGACATTTCCCTAATCATAGCCAGTGGTTCAGGATGGACACCCAGAGTAATCCAACAAAACTCAGTTCCTGAACTTCTGCTGGAACTGGAAGAGAGAACAAGAAGCCCTCTTTCTTCTGGAACAGCTGACACTAAGGATGAAATAAGCCCACTGCTTCTCAGAACCAGCACACAGAGAGAAACTGCCAACAAAGAGAGGAAAACAAAGCCAAGAAATGCAGCAAAAGAGAGATCAAATCTTGATCACATCATTTGGGCACCCAGCTCTCTAGCCAGATCTTTGAACTTTTGGGTATGGTGGCTAACAACTTCTCTTTCTGCTGAAGCCAGATTTAATTTGATTTCCTTCACTTGCAACAAACTGATTCCTAATTAATGCAACGGGAGAAAGAAAAGAGATCTGTGTATAAGCATTGTCGAATTCTAGACCCTTTCCTCTAAGAGGGCGAGTGAGGTCATAGAGGAAGGCACTACCATGGGATATATCACACAGGTAAGGCTAAAGCAAAATCCTGAGCTAAATTCACAACATCAATCAGGAGAAAAGGGAAAGACTAAGAACACAGATGTTTTATCACTCCATTCTGCAGCAGGTGTGAAAGTGCCAATTTGGATTTAAAAGAGCATGAAACAAATGCAACCCTCATGGCTCCACCACTGTGAAAGAGGTGCTGGGTAAGTAAATTTCCTAGCTCAATGGTCTTCAAAGTGGAAGGGTTGCACAAGATGATCCATTGGGGAGCAGAAAAAAAATTAGAACTTATATTTATAGCTATCTTAGTGAAAGTCTGTTTGAAGCTTTACAAGTAGTTTGAGTGTGGATTGACCCTGGCACCCTCATTCAGTCTGTACTGGGAAACAGACCACAAGAAACCCAAGAGAAGTTGGGTATTACACAATATGAGAGGGATAATAGTGGTATTCTTGTCTCCTTATCCCCACTATTACTTCTGATAAGCTTCCAATGCCTCCTCTTTAAATCTCCTAATATTCATTCTAGAGCACCAAGAATGCCTATTAATTGGCATTCCTCTCTCTGTACCCCAGTGATGCTCTGAGATACTGAAAGATGAGTTCTCTTTCCTTGCGTTAAATGACCCCAGGCGACTGATCTCCTAATTAACCCTTCCTCTTCCTCCTCCTTGGCCCTCTAGCCTCTCTCCCAACAAAAGTGAGTTTGCCAAGAGAAACAATGCCCCAAACTTGTGCATAAAAAGCTTAACTTTACATAGAGGCTTTTGTTTAAACATGCAACTTCCAGTTTAATGGGAGTCAAGTGGCCAAGTACCTAAATTAAGGAACATGAAATAATGCTCTGCAGTGTTCTTTTTTTTTTTTTTTTTAGAGAGACAGAGTCTTTCCTCACTCTGTTGCCCAGGCTGCTGGAGTGCAGTGGCATGATCTCAGCTCACTGAAAACTCTGCCTCCTGGGTTCAAGCAATTCTTCTGCCTCAGCCTCCTAAATAGCTGGCACTACAAGTACGTGCCACCATGTCCGGCTGATTTTTGTATTTTTAGTAGAGACAGGGTGTCACCATATTGGCCAGGTTGGTCTCTAACTCCTGACCTCATGATCCACCCACCTTGGCCTCCGAAGGTGTTGAGATTACAGATGTGAGCTACCATGCCCAGCCACTCTGAAATGTTCTTTAGTTCACCCCACAAACTGGTTTTTCTAAGCACATTCTGAATCTCTCTCTCTCTCTCTTTCTCTTTCTCCCCCAACCCTACTCCATGATCAAAAAGAAAGTTGAGGCTTCAGGGGATCAAAAAGCAGATCATCCACCCCAAACCATTTTTACCTGGGGTGACACAGAAATATCACCATCCAAGTTTGCTAAAACAGCAGCTGGATCTCGCTTGTAAAGGAGTTCCAACAGGGGAGGAAGGGGATAAAAAAGAAACAGTCACTAGAGTGAATCGGCAACCAACAGAATGGGAAAAAATTTTTGCAGTTTACCCATCTGACAAAGGGCTGATATCCAGAATTTACAAAGAACTCAAACAGATTTACAAGAAAAAAACAAACAACTCCATTCAAAAGTGGGCAAAGGATATGAACCGACACTTTACGAAAGAAGACATATATGAGGCCAACAATCATATGAAAAAATGCTCATCGTCACTGGTCATCAGAGAGATGCAAATCAAAACCACATTGAGATACCATCTCACGCCAGTTAGAATGGCAATCATTAAAAAATCTGGAGACAACAGATGCTGGAGAGTATGTGGAGAAAAAGGAACACTTTTACACTGTTGGTGGGAGTGTAAATTAGTCCAACCATTGTGGAAGACAGTGTGGCGATTCCTCAAGGCCTTAGAAATAGAAATTCCATTTGACCCAGCAATCCCATTACTGGGTGTATACCCAAAGGACTATAAATCATTCTACTATAAGGACACATGCACACGAATGTTTATTGCAGCACTGTTTACAATAGCAGAGACCTGGAATCAACCCAAATGCCCATTGATGATAGACTGGATTGGGAAAATGTGGCACATATACACCATGGAATATTATGCAGCAATCAGAAATGATGAGTTCGTGTCGTTTGTAGGGACATGGATGAATCTGGACATCATTCTCAGCAAACTGACACAAGAACAGAAAATGAAACACTGCATATTCTCACTCATAGGCGGGTGATGAAAAATGAGAACACATGGACACAGAGAGGGAAGTACTAAACACTGGGTTCTATTGGGGGGAAAAGGGGAGGGCCAGTGGGAGGGGGTGGTGGGGAGGGATAGCCTGGGGAGAAACGCCAAATGTGGGTGAAGGGGTGAAAGCAAACAGAACACACTGCCATGTGTGTACCTATGCAACTGTATTGCATGCTATGCACATGTACCCCAAAACCTAAAATGCAATAAAAAAATAAGAAAAAAAAATTTACAAAGACAATAAATTCAACACTCTTTTCTCATTATACCAGAGCTTGTAAGAGGATTGCATTACACATCTAGCAACTCTAGGGCATCTGACATGTGGTCTCATTTGCAAACATTTTATTTACACTTTATGATTTCATGAACCACTGACTGCGTAAAGTAGTCCAACTGGCCTCCTCCTCTCTTCTTCAAGTTAATGACATTTTAAATTTTCAGAAAACTCACCAATGAAGAACAGCAGATAGACGAACAGAGCTAGCAGGAAGTGCGTCAGATGGTAATACATTGAGTCTTCTTTTCCTCTAGGGCTTCAGTTTCCCCATCTATAAAATCAGAGAGCTAGATTATAAGGGTCCCAAATCTACATTTCGACCAAGACCAGGCAAGTAATACAAATGAATGGAAGGAGTTGGGTCTAATAGTACGTGTCAAATATCTGACAGGCACTGAGAGAGGAAGATACTGGGAGCAGAAAGGGAAATGCGCCATGATCTGTGCTCTGGTGAAGTGTTTGACCTTATGAGAGAGGTGAGCATATAGGCAGCTACCAACAAATCTGATAAAAGCTGTGTTCATCATTCCATATGAATAGCAGGAGGGTTGGACTAGTCCCTCCCAGAGGAATCCTGGAAGATTGTGTATAATAAGTGAGAAGGCATTTGAGGGGAGAAGAGGAGTTTTTCAGGTGAAGAAGTGGGAAGAACAAGAGAACAGGAATGGCATTTCAAGTGGAAAAAACCGCCTGTGCCAAGTCACGGTGACCTGAAAAACAACTATATTAGGGGAGAAAAAAGAAGTGTGTTAGGGCTGGAAGGTCCACACATGAAGTTATGGGGTGAGTTGGAAATAAATGACAAGGAAGCTTGAAGCATTTATCTTGAGAGTAATAGGAAGCCAGGGGTATGCAGGGGTATGTTCTAAATTGTTGAGAAAACTGGTGATATTTACATTTTAGGAAGTTTGCTCTGTCTGCAGGGTGAGGAATGGGTGAGAGCTGCACTATCCAACATGGTGGTCGTTAGCCACATTTGGCTACTGAGCCCTTGGCACGTGGCCAGTCCAAACTGAGACGTGCTACGTAAACTAAAAATAAAGCCTTAAGCCCCCTGCCCCACTGACAGAACAGACCCCTCTTGGCCAAAGAGACCCCCAGAAAAACCTTAAGTGAGTTCACAGCCATGACAAGAACAGGAGGTTCAACACACCTTGTTATACCCCCTCTTTTGTGTAGTTTAGACACAACTGACCAGCATTCATGTTAAAATAGAGATCACGAGACTGACAAAATGAATTCTTTGTAGCAGTAAGATACTAAGTTATAAACAGGGCCTAAGGCCATGCCAGGAAAGGGTTAAGTCACATACTCCTACACTTAAAGAATAAACTGTATGCTAACTGCCATGAGGTTTTTCTTTTTCTCTAGCAGCTATACAAGCAAGCGTCTTGAGATAAGCAATGTTAAAGCAACTGCAGCTTACCAACCACCAGACACTGACTGATCCTCCTCAACACCATTCCCGTTCCACCAGCCATAACTACAGCTTGGATTAGCCAAGAAACTGATTTCAATAACATTGTCCTAATAAAAAGACCACCAGCCATAGACTGATGCTGGCAAGTTTACAGAGGCTGCACGTATGAGTGCCTTCTTCCTAAAAACACATTTTGACACGTTAAGACCTAATTATAATACAAGCAAATGTTAAGCCCCACCCCAAGGTGAAGTCGTATGTAATATGAATATTTGTTCAGTACACGTCATAACTGCCTTCATAAATACTCATAACTCTTCTTGTAACCTGTTGAATATGTATACTTGGCCACCCCCATCAGCTAATCCACAATTGAGAGCCTACTATGTACCACTAAATGCCACTGCAGGGACAGAATATTTCTTAAATGAATTCACAGAGCTCACAGGGAAGGTTTCAACATGTTCCTCTCCAGTGAGCACAGGTGGGACAATTGGAGATCAAGTTCAGATCTGGAAGCTCATTCAGTAATTCCAACTTTTTGAAGTCTCGGTTGGTGAACTATTACGGAACATTTCCCAAAACACTTAACTCCAACAACAAGGTTTTAGTGTTTGGCAACATACAAGCAGAATGCAATTAAGCCTTGGAACTGTGTACTGAGTGTCCATCAGCTGGAGCCAAATGGGGATGTAGTGAGGCAAGGCTCCTTTCGGAGTATGGAACAAGCCCATCTGTGCCTCAGACCCCCAGAGTGGAGACACCACAGTGAGATCTGGCTAACGGTGGTGAGAACTCCTTGTCATCAATGAAGGAGGCATGTCCTTACAAGGACATAAAGCAAAGAGGTACTAAAGTCATGAAAAATAAGATGGCCCTTCTCTCTTGGACAGAGCTTAAAGAAAAATCAGAACCATTTCTATTCTTATTTGATAGACTTGTGTTCTCATTCACATCATCTCCAGGCACTGTGAATGCTGATTCAAATGGTAATTGTTGTTAACATTTACTGGGTAGGTAAATGTGCCAGGAACCATCATAAGTACTTTATATGCATCAAATTTTTAAAATAGGAGGAAGGGGTCATTATCAATACTTTATAATGAGGAAACTGAAGCTCAGAGAGGTGCAGCAATTTGGTTGCAAGTGACAGAGTCTAAACTCAAACTAACTGAGACTAAAGGGGAATTTGTTGCCTCGAGAAGTACAATGAAGTGTTGAAACATCAAGCTCTGAAATGAACAAAGATGCAGATGGGTCTTTGATACAACTGGTACCAGTGGCGTTTTCTCTCTGCTTCTCTCTTCTTCTCTCTGTGCGTCAGCCACATCCTATTCTGCTGCATGCCAGCTTCTAACACAGGTGGCAATGGGGCTTCTCAACTCCCCATGCTCTCCTGTGTTCTGGTTTCAAAAATTTTAGGGCAAAGCTCTGATTGGTCCAGCTTGCATCAGGTATTCACCTTGAACCAATCAACAGTAACCAAGAGAGAAAGATAATGTAAAAACACGGCAGATCACTAAAATCACATGGGTTGGAGTCAAGGAAGAAGAAAGAAATTGATTTCCCAAAATCAAGAATGATATATTGTTCCCAGAAGAAAGCAAAAACTACCTATTATAGTCCACTACCAAGAATGAGAGCCAACAAGACTATTATGTAGGGAGGACACTGACTCCTCCTTATGGTTACACACTCTGAAAGTCCTCAGAAAATCTGAGGTCCAGACCATGTATGACATGCCAACTTAACTGAATAGTCACTGGCTTTTTACAGCGTACTGGCATTACATTCCAGGCTACCACATAGCATGGCCTCAGGAAATATTTGTTGGGTGAATAATGTGAAGATGAATAAAACAAGGTCCCTCTACTCAGAGAACTTACAGCTTAGTAGGTGATAAAGGCAAAGAAACAGCCCCAAAGAGATACAGAACATAGTCTGAGAACTCAGACAAATGGAAGATCACATTGGTTTGAGAACACATAGGGAGACAGTAAGTTAAAAAGTCATCAAGGAGGGAGGTCCTATTTGATATAAGCCTTGAAAACAGAATGAGATTTCTTCCTTTTTTTTTTTTTGAGACAGAGTTTCGCTCTTGTTACCCAGGCTGGAATGCAATGGCGCGATCTAGGCTCACGGCAACCTCCGCCTCCTGGGTTCAGGCAATTCTCCTGCCTCAGCCTCCTGAGTAGCTGGGATTACAGGCACACGCCAACGTGCCCAGCTAATTTTTTGTATTTTTAGTAGAGACGGGGTTTCACCATGTTGACCAGGATGGTCTCAATCTCTTGACCTCGTGATCCAGCTGCCTCAGCCTCCCAAAGTGCTGGGATTTCAATAGGCAGAGATACAAGAAAAATTTGTCCCAGCTACAGCAAGCTATGTGAGTGAAGTCATGGAGACAGGGATGGACATCTCATCCAGGTTTTTGTAAATTATACTAAAATATACATAATATAAAATTTTCCATTTTAATCATTTTTAAGTTTACAATTCAATGGCATGAATTACATTCACATTGCTGTACAACCATCATCACTGTCTTGAAACTCTTTCTGTCTTCCAAAACTCTTCCATCACCCTGGCAGAAACTCTGTTTCTGCAATAACTCCCCATTCCCAGGAACGTGGTAATCTCTACTCTACTTTCTATCTCCATAAATTTACCTAATCTATATATTTTGTGAAAGTGAAATTGTACAACATTTATCACTTTGTATTTGGCTTATATCACTTAGCATAATGTGTCCAAGTTTCATCCGTGTTGAGGGATGTCCTGTATCTTCATTTCTTTGTATACCTAGGTAATATCTCATCATATGAATATTCCACATTCCCTTTCTCCATTCATTGGTGGATGGATATTTGGTTTGTTTCCACCTTTTGTGCTGCAATGGCCAATAAACATTGATCTATTCAAGTCCTAGTTTTCAATTCTTTTGGTTATCTACCCAGAAGTGAAATTGCTGGGTTGTATAGTAATTCTGTTTAGCGTTTTGAGGAACCATCATACTGCTTTCTGCAGCAGCTGCAGCATTTTACATTCCCACCAGCGATGTATAAGGGTCCCAATTTCTCTGCATCCTTGCCAACACTTGTTATATTCCATTGTTATTATTGTTGTTTTTAACAGCCATTCTAATAAAGGTGAAGTGGTATCTCATTGTGGTTTTTTATTTGCCTTTTTTTAATGACTAAGGGTGTTTGACATCTTGTCACGTGCTTATTCAAGCCATCCAGTTTTACTAGTGCACAACCCAACCGTCATAAATCCAAGATGTTTAGGTTTATTGCATAGGCAATAGAAAGCCAGTGGTAGTTTGGAAGCCGAAGAGTAGCATGATCAGAAATATAAGACCTTGGCAGAGGAGTATAAAATGAAGCCAGAGGACTGGTTAAGAGGCTACTTCGATGGTCCAAGCGAGGGACCTGCCACCTCCCAAACCTGAGCCAGGGAGGTCGTAGTGGCAATGGAAGGAAAGGGACAGGTTCCAGACACAGCATCTTTTCAACACAATGGAAGCCACCTATGTGCAATCACATAAAGAACTGGTTATGTAAGTGTGGTATAGCCTATGTGATGAATTGCTCTGCATCTGTAAAAATGATGCCGATGAATAAATGAAACAGAAAGATGTTCCCAAGTAAGTGAAAAAAAATTAAGGTTACAACACAGAGCATACATCATGATCTCATTTTTAGATAGATGATGCATAATTAGATCAGAATGCAAGGAGAAGGACAGATACTGAAGGAGGAAAAGACCTTGAAAACCACACACACATATGTGAATAATGATCACCTCTTGCTAAACTAACCTCTCACCAAGATACTTGCATGTTCTCTTTT